ATGTAATAGAAAATTAGAAATTGACAAAGATACTCACGAATGACAAAACTATTGAATTTTACATATTTGGATGAATTTTCAAAAATTTTTATTTCTTTTTATTTTGTTTGCCGGTCCGATTTGGTTTTAAACCAAAATTAAAATTTCCAAACCTAAACCAAATCATTTTTGACCGATTTGGTTTGATTCAAAACCATTTCGTTGACGGGTCCACGTGGTTTCTAAAATGCAGTTTCGGTTCGATTTTCTGGTTTGACGATTTTTGCTTACAGCTAGAGGTGTCAAAACGAACGGGTCGGTCAGACCCGTGAAAATCAGCCCGGATCGATCCGGGATCGCTAGCCGACCCATGACCCGAGCGGGCGGTTCATAGGTCAATGAAGTGTGACCCACGGACTTCGCGGGTTTTACCTTCACAGGCTGCAGTTAACCCGCTGACCCGTGAAAAAAAAATTAAAAATTTTGAAAAAAAGAGGGGAGAGAGCCGTTGTACTTATGCTATAAATATGTGATAATAGTAATTAGAAATACATTTAGTTGTTATTTGTTTAAGTTAAATTTAACTTTGCAAATGTATAAATATTTCATGTAATATTAAATTTGAATTCTATGTAAACATTATTTGGTATAACTATGAATTTATCATTTTGTTCAATTCTTAGTTTACATTTAAAAAATATATATTTTTTTGCTATAAATATGAAAAATTCTATATTTTTAAAATTTTATATATACAATAATACGGGTCAAATCGGAACAAACCGCGACCCGTGATCCGCATGGGCTCGACCCTGATGGGTCAGCGGGCGGTCCTGAATTGTAGTCCAAAATTTGTGGGTCGACCTGAAACTCGTAGTGGGCGGGCTTTTTTTCACGCGAGCTGTTTCCGGACTCATATGTTAGAGGGCAGACCCGACCCGGACCACCCGGATTGATACCTCTACTTACAGCCCTAGGATGCAGTTCACTGTATTTATGTAAAAGTCTGATGGTGGATTGTAATTCTTATTTTGATGTTAATGACAATATATTAGCTAAGGATGATGAGGAGTGTATTGAGATCATTTTGAAATGGTTGTCCTTAATCTTTGAGATAAAGGCCATAAATTTAGCAAATTGTACATTTTGTATTAAAAAGATTATACTAGTCTCCTTACTCCGTTACAAGAATTGTACATTATAAATACTTTAGAATATTTTTAACTGTGGAATTGCTACTATTTTGATACTCCTATACCGGAATATAAGTCTCCATAAATGTCCAAAAACTCCATAAGTACACAAAAGAAAA